AGTCATACATTGCTACTGCTGCTACTGCTAAGTCACTTCAGTAGTGTCCGACTCTGTGCGACCCCATATACGGCAGCCCACCAGGCTTCGCTGTCCCTGGGATTCTCCAGGCAAGAACACTGGAGTGGGTTGCCATTTCCTTCTCCAATGCATGCATTATATAATGTTAAAAATCTCGCTATTACTTTAAAGATGTTTTACTACTGGAAGTTCCCAGGCAGCCCAGTGGTTAGGATTAGTGCATGTATGTAGTGAGAATACTTCAGGGCTACTCACCAAGCAACTTTGAAGTATATAATACAGTACTGCTCACTACAGTCACATGTTGCACTTTAGAGCCCCAGAATTTACTCATCTTATAACTGGAAACTCGCCAGGCTGGTAGGTACTCAATAGCCCCTGGAGAAGAGTGGAGAAATAACTCCAGGAAGAATGAAGAGGCAAATTACCACACAATTGCACTCATGTCACATGCTAGCAAAGTAATGCTCAAAATTCTCCAAGCTAGGCTTCAACAGTACGTGAACTCAGAACTTCCGGATGTTCAAGCTGGATTTAGAAAAGGCAGATCAAATTGTCAACATTTGTTGGATCATAGGAAAAGCATGAGAATTCCAGAAAAACATCTACTTCTGCTTCATTGACTACACTGAAGTCTTTGTATGGATCACAACAAACTGTGGAAAATTCTTACAGATGGGAATATCATACCACCTCCTAGTATCTTGAGAAATCTGTATGCAGGTGAAGAAGCAACAGTTAGAACTGGACATGGAAAATGGACTGGTTCCAAACTGGGAAAGGAGTACGTCAAGGCTATATATTATCATGTTGCTTATTTAACTTATATGCAGAGTACATCATGTGAAATGCTGGATTAGATGAACCATAAGCTGGAATCACGATTCCTGGGAAAAATATCAATAACATCAGATAGGCAGATGACACCACCCTTATGGCAGAAAGCAAAGAGGAACTAAAGAGCCTCTAGATGAAAGTGAAAGAGGAGTGAAAAAGCTGGCTTAAAACTCAACATTCAAAAACTAAGATCATGGCATCTAGTTCCATCACTTCATGGCAAGTAGATGGGGAAACAATGGAAACAGTGAGACACTTTTTATTTTCTTGGGCTCCCAAGTCACTGCAGATGGTGACTGCAGCCATGAAATTAAAAGACGCTTGCTCCTTGGAAGAAAAGGTATGACCAACCTTGATAGCATATTAAAAAGCAGAGATATTACTTTACTGACAAAGATCCATATAGTCAAAGCCATGGATTTTCCAGTAGTCATGTATGGATGTGATATATGGACCATAAAGAAAGCTGAGCACTGAAGAATTGATGCTTTTGAATTGTGGTGATGGAGAAGACTCTTGAGAGTCCCTTGGACAGCAAGGAGATCAAATCAGTTAATCCTAAAGGAAATCAGTCCTGAATATTCATTGGAAGAACTGATGCTGAAGCTGAAACTCCAATACTTTGGCCAACTGATGGGAAGAACTGACTCACTGAAAAAGACCCTGATACTGGGAAAGATAGAAGGCAGGAGAAGGGGATAACAGAGGATGAGATGGTTAGGTAGCATCACTGACTCAATGGACATGAATTTGAGCAAACTCCAGGAGATGGTGAAGGACAGAGAAGCCTGGTGTGCTGCAGTCCATGTGGTTGAAAAGAGCTGGATATGACTGAGCAACTGAACTGAACTGTACCCTTTGACTGACACTTCCCCATTTCCTAGTTCGCTACATTTAATGTGTTAGTTTTATTTTATTTGGGTGCTAACTTTTTCTCTAATTTTATATTGAAGTGAAAAACAGAAGAATAATGAAATTACAGGGTTTCTGGTTGCTCATATCTTAGTGACTAAACAACAATGAAATCACTACACAGACAAAAGACAAAAGTTCTATTTTAAAAACTTACAATTCAGTATAAAGTAATTCCATACATGGAACTATACAAGAATACATATAAAGAAATTGTATTTTAACAATACAATAAAAAAGAAAATACAAAACACAAGAAATTGGATTGTAAAGAAAACCATGAATAATTTCACAGTTTAATTTTTGTGACTATTTTTGCCTATTAAGCAAAAGGCTATATTTCCAAATAATAAGGCATTAAATGAAAAGCTCAGGTGTTATTCTTGATGGTATCATTCTTGATGGCCTGGAATAAAACCAGATAGCCATAAATTGATAGTACTGTACTGAAGTGGAATAAATAAACATTAAAATAGAATTCAGAAAAATAAGAAAAGATTAGAGAAATACTGAAGATCAGAAAGATGTCTAAGGTTAGATGGGTGGCTCAGACAGTAAAGAATCTGCCTGCAACGCAGGAGATGCAAGAGACCTAGGTTCAATCCTTGGTTTGGGATGATCCTCTGGAAGAGGAAATGCAACCCACTCCAGTATTCTTGCCTGGAGAACTCCATGGACAGAGGAGCCAGGTGGGCTACAGTTCATGGGGTAGCAAAGAGTGGGACATGACTGAGCAACTAACACTCTCACTTTAAGATTAGATATGGAAAAGGAAATGGCAACCCACTCCAGTATCCTTGCCTGGGAAATCCCATGGATAGAAGAGCCTAGTGGGGTGAAAAGAGTTGGACATGACTTAGGGACTATACAACAACAAACAAGATTAGATAAGAAAAGGATTAGATAAGATCAGATAGACTGACAGTACTGTATAAAGGTTAAACTAGAATTAAACATTAAACATTAATTAAACATTAAACTAGAATTCAGAAAAGTGAGATGAGATAAATACTAAAAGGAGTAGAAATAAAACCTATCACAGCAAGAAAGAGGAAAAAAATATGAAGAGAAAAGCAAGTAAGATCATGTTTGGGACTTCCTTGATGGTCCAGTGGTTAAGAATCTTCCTTGCAACGCAATGGGTATGGATGGGTTAGAACCCTGGTAGGGGAACTAAGATCCCACATGCCACAGAGCAACTAAGTCCGCGCCTTCTGGAGCTTGTCACAGGACACAACTGGATTCTGGAGCTTGTCACAGGACACAACTGGATTCTGGAGCTTGTCACAGGACACAACTGGAGTTGCTGGGTGGCAATGAAAGATCCCACAAAACCAAAGAAGATCCCACGTGCCATAATTAAGACCCAACACACACACACACACACACACACACACACACACACACGAAAAGATCATGTTCTCATGGCATCTACTAGAGGCATAAACAGTGGGACTGAACTTCATGGAGCATAGAGAAGAAAAAAATCTCCAGACAACTAGAAAGTCTCCTAAATAAGGACAAGGTGTAAAAAGTAAAGGCAATTCACCCAATGGAAAGGATAGGAGACTGAAACACTGCCCACTTCCCCTTGACAGGATTGTCCAGAAAGTCTATATATGGTATTTGATTCTAATTCTATTGTTTTTTAATAATCCTTTTTACATTTCTAGTATGTACATTTTCATTTTTTCTCTCAATATCAGCATTTCAATACCTATGTAAGAAGCTGAAGATTTCTTTTTATAAATACACAGATCTACAATGATGTTCAAATTCCTAGAAGTGTTAGTTGTTCAGTCGTGCCCAACTCTTTGCGACCCATGGACTGTAGCCCACCAGGCTCCTCTGTCCATGGGATTTTCCAGGCAAGGATACTGGAGTGGGTTGCCATTTCCTTCTCTAGGGGATCTTCCCGACCCAGGAATCGAACCCAGGTCTCCCTCACTGCAGGCAGATTCTTTACCCACTGAGCTATAAGGGAAGCCCCTCAAATTCCTAAGCCACTCTGAACTAAGTTTAATATGAACTTCAATGTGGGTCTGTCATCACAGAGCGGAAGGGAATGGTTCAGAGGCCACAACAACCAAATTCACTTTGACATAGAACTCAACAAGAAGACAGTCCTGTAACGCTGCAAAATTAATAAATACCAATAATGTAATAATATATCAATAATCAGTATAATTTTTATATTAACTAGTAATTAATGCCATCCTAAAGTTGTTGAATTAAACAGGATGATGCACTCTAGCTTGGCTACAATAAATACTCTTTTTCAGGAAACGATCAATAATTGCTATTATTGACAGTTTCTAATACCCGTATCTTTGACATATGGAAAGCTCAAAAGAGGGAAAAGAAAAGAGAGCTAGTATTAAATACTTCCTCCGTACTAGGTATTTCAGTAATACTTAAAACCTCTCACGAAGTGCACCCCCCGCCCCGCCCCGCCTCCTCCCAGAGCCGCGCACACCTTTGGTTTCGCGCCAGGACCGGAGACGACTTCCGCGCTACACCGGCCACAGCTGCCGCGCCGTCGTCCGGTTTGCGCGCTCCTCCCCTCGCCTTCCCACCGACCCAGAAGCCGGTGGGCGGGCAGACAGCGGCTACGCGAGAGACCTACTTTGCAGCCCGCGGGGCCTAACGGTGCGCGAGTGCCGCCGCCGCCGCCGCCGCCGCCGCCGGGGGCGCTGGTAAACCCAGCGGCGACGGTGTCGCAAAAGCGTCGCGAAGGCTTCCGTCCTTGGCGATCCGAGGCCACCTGTATAAGACAGCGTGTTGGGGTTTGAGAACCAGTAATGGAGGCCGTCGAGCTTCCCCAATGTTGCGGGGAGTTGATGAGGAAGCGGTTCGCCAGTGCCCTGGATTGCTGAGCTCTCGCCGACTGCGTCTCCCTCTAGCGCCAGCAGGATCATGCTGGCTTCGCGGATGGCGCGCGCCTCTTGGGGGGCCCTGCGCGTCGCCGCGTGGGCACCGGGAGCGCGGCCGGGAAAGGGGCGCGCCCGCGGGGCTCTGCTCCCGCCCGCGCCCGGCTGCCTAGGTTTCCTGGCTGAGCGCTGGTGGCTGCGCCCGGCCGCGCTCGGCTTGCGGCTGCTTGGGGCTAGCCCGCGAGCCCACTGCTCGGGCGCGGAGAAGGCAGCCCCCGGGCCCGCGACCGGCGAGGACGCTGCTGTTGAGGCCCGACGCGGCCAGTGGAGCCCGACGAGCGCCTCCAACCTGGTACGTACCGAGGAGGCGGCGGAAGGGCGACGGCTGCGGCGGGCTCGGTCCTGGACACGAATAACGTGCCCTGGCTGGTCAGGTCCGACGCTTCCATTTCAGAGCTTTTAAACCGCTCCCTGAAGAGAAGTTACGGGTAGGTCATTCGGTCCGGACGACTGTCAGTGTTACCAGCCTGATCCTCTTTGCGTCTCGGCGGTCAAGTTAGAACCCTCTCCTCCCCCCTCTATCCTCACCTGTAGCAGGATATTGCATTGGTAAAAATAGCCTTCACTTATCTTTTTAAAAGCCCATTTTAAATTTTATGAAGCGAATCTCCAGTGTTTAGGACAAGTCTGTGAGCGTCTTCAGAAATATATACAGGCCTTTCTGTTTGCTTGTGCAGGTTTGGTTAACTACCATTTGACCTTTGGTAACTTTTTACGCATTGTATAGGATGAAGGGTAACTAATTGAGATCGTAATTAAAAGATCTTTTAACCTCTAATTATAGAAAAAGATTAAGACTTTCTGAGGTAACGGAGGAAAATGTTTGTCTGCTTACCTGTTGAAATACTGACCAAACAGAAGAAATCGGAGCATGAGTGTGGGAGAGCTTTTGATGTCATGTAGCAAGACTCATGCAATTATTACATCTTCAATTGTTATGTCTTCAGTGGGGCCCTGTGCCGCTTTCATCAGTTGTACAGCATGGGTTGGGTTGGCCACATCCTGGCAGGGGTCTCAGCTCCATTAATAGCTAAAGCATGTTGGGGTTTGAATGCTGGATGCTTTGAAGTTGCCATATCCTGGCTGAAGTCCTTCCCAGAACGGCAGTAGTTGGTCGAGTATGCCACAGGTTATCTGGTTGGGTAATCTGAGATTAGCTCTCTTAATTTTAGTTTAGAAACGTTTACAAATGTAATAATTAGAGATTAATGAGGTATTTTAACTGAAATATTTTGTGTAGAGCTCAAAAGAATCCTTTTCATTGTTCTGGGAACATTCAGTCTGGTTTATTAATTCACCAAATGAAACGATGTGGTTGTTTGCAGCTGTGTCTTTAATTTTGTCCCACGGGCATCTGTTATGAATTTTGGCCCTCTGTATTCTGACCTTTCGCTTTGCGTTTCCCTTTTCTCAATCATGAACTGTACTCTCCCCTTCCCGCCTCAGTGAGTTGCTGTTATACTGGATCAGTGTTTGATTTCTCTGTGCTGCAGTATGGTCAACAGACTTATCTTTTTTTTCTGAACTCTGAACACTTGTACCTTGAACTTGAGTTTGGAGTGTTCCAAGAATGAGTCCATTTAATTAATATTGTGGTTTACCTTCATAAAAGGTAGAGGTTTGTAGTGCTGATTGTTTCCCAGAAAATTTGAATTTTTCTGTAGCTTTAGTGACAGTATTCTGCTCCCTGACCCCCAAAACCCCATTATCCTTCCAGGCTGAGGTGAACATTTCTTGCCTGGTTCTGTTTATAAACACAAGCTTAGTATCTTAGAGAACTGCCTTTTCTTACAGAATGGTTCAAGATATTTTAAAAGAGGTCTTTCGAAATGGATGCTGTTACTTTTCTAAAAGATTAAGATTCAGACAAATTGGTTACCGATTGAGAAAGAGGTTAAATAGGGTTATCTTGTGAGGAGATAGTCCCATGAGGTAGAACTGGCAGTCTTGACTCAGTGGAGAAACTAACCTTTAGGAAATGACATTTTCTCTGTATTATTTCTGTACCCAGTTTTGTGCAATGTGTCTTAGTTCTTTAAAGTTGAAATACCCTCTCGTGAAACAGATTTTGTTTTGGCAAGGAAGGAATGTTCTTCAGAGCAGCTGCCACGGTGCCCTTTTGTTGGTGCCAACTTCAGACACCTTGCCTCCCAATGAAGTTTAAAGGAATCATAAAGTTCCCATAGGGAAGCTGTGAAAGCCTTCAGCTTCTGGTTGGGGATCTTAACATTGCTGTGGCTGTTTTGAACAGATTTCCCAAGGATTTAAATCACTATTCGTTGTTCCATTTTCTTCCAGCAGTTCTCCAGTTTAGTGATGACGTTATGGAGTTAGGTGTTTTTAATCCCTCTTCATTCGTATCTGCAAACGCTGTGTATGGCATTTAGCATTCTTTTGATGGGTATGTATAGAAGAGTGAGGAGAGGTTATTTGCAATAAATGTTTTTTAGCCAGAATGCCCATGGTTGATAGTTTGGCTTTTTTTCTGACCCTTTCTAGACTGTTTGTCTACTTGAAGTATAAGATTTTCCTGAAGTTTCACTTCTAAACATTTTTTATTTTGTATAAAGGGAAAGTAATTCTTTTAAAAAATTTTTTATTGAATATAGTTGGTTTGCAATGTTGAAGTTTCATTTTTAAAAGCAGTATGTTTTTAGTTTTGAATTCTAATTGTGAAGTCATGTATTACAGTCTTGACTTATATGGTAATACATATTTATTTCTTCTCTCTAATGAGAAAATCTATATATAGTCAGTACTTTAGTCTGTGTTTGGGTACATGACATACCTATAAGTTGATGGAGTGTGTTTTCCTGCGTAAATAGTTATTTAAAGTATGAATTTATAGTATTTAATTTAAATTTTGTTGTCTTTATGTTTCAGTATGAAAACCCATGGACAATCCCAAATATGTTGTCAATGACAAGGATTGGCTTGGCCCCAATTTTGGGCTATTTGATTATTGAAGAAGATTTTAATATTGCATTAGGAGTTTTTGCTTTAGCTGGGCTAACTGACTTGGTAAGTTATAAAGGCACTCCACTTGTTCTGTTCCCTTTCTAAATCCCAGTCTCCACTACACTGAAATAATGCAGCTTCAGTTTGCTTTTCCTTGGAAGAAAATCGTCAAAGATGCATTTCACCTAGTACTTTTATAAAGGCTTGTCATTAGCATCTATGTGGGACTCTATTATTCTTTGTATTATCTAAGGAAGGAAGTAGAGGTTGTAGGAAGGCATTGGAGAACTTCTTCATGAAAGAAAAAAGCCTTAGATATTCTCAAAGGGCCAACTACTTGCTTTAACTTGCTTTAAGGATAGAAATAAAGGAGAGAAGCTGAGACTGTTTTTTCCTGCTTATGTAGTAGAGAGAAATATCTGATCTGCAACAACAGTTGGTTTTACTGATGGAGAAGGAAGTAGTGGGCCAGTTGTTGTGACCAGGAGCTTGTAGAGGCCAGATCTCTGCTCAGGTTTATGCTGGCAGGATGCCATAGGCACCCTACACGTTTGCTCCTTGATTCCTGCTCCATACCCCTCTGACCATCTTCCAAAAGACCTTGCCCTAGGTGGGCATTAGGCATCCTTCCTTCCACTCTCCCAGCAGATGGACAGAGGAGAAGAGAATACCTTGACACCACTATCTCAGTTTAGAGGGAGGGAAAGATTAATTCAGGTTATTTCAAATTTGAACTTGGGAAATAATTTTAATAACAGAAAGCTGCACTATGTGTTTTATAGGCTTTTGTGGACTGGCCAGTCATTGGCATGTATGACGTTATTTGTATCTGTCACCCACCTTGTTGCATAAAGAATTGAAATAGCTTATAAAACTATATGTCCTTTAAAAACAAAATTGAAGGAAATGGGGAAATGGTAGAGGAAAAATTTTAAATCAGGACAAAAGCATGTAGAAACAGATATTGTGTATATGTATTATGTATTCTTGTACAAGGCTGGTCTGAGATCCAAGTAAGCACCCAGACAAACAATAGTAATTTGGTGCCTCTTTAAACTGATGTATGTTTGAAAAGTAATGCTCAGTATTTAGCAAGAATAAAGAGAAACTTATTTTCTATTAATGCAGTTTATATAACATCTTCCTTTGTAACATCAGCTATTCCCTTTGAGATTCATAGAAACAAAATTGCACCTGCCCAGCACCACTGTTGAGCAGTGTAGAATTAGCTGAAGGTTTTGCAGGGTAAACAAAGGAGGGTGTTTGCATTGTTATATGACATTTCCAAATGTGCATCAAATACGGTCTCTCAAAGTGGCTACCTCCTCTCTTTTTCCAGAATTTAGCTCCTATTTGTCACAATTTCTCCCCATTCACACAACCCCTTCGTTTGTCCCTACTTTTATCTCTGAAGTGTGAAGGCCTCTACTTATGAAAATGGTCTGCAGGTCTGTCAAAGACCATTATACTGATAATGGAATTTTTTTTTTTTGGTAATAGACAAGATCTTTTTCGGTTACCATATTTGCAATTTTTTTTAGTTTGTAGGTTTTCTTTAGTTGCCACATGATATTGAGATGTTCATTAAGTGGAAGAGGCCTCATTTATACTTTTCTAAATATAGAAGACAATGTGTGTGGAAATCTAAGTTAACTGGCATGGTTTTACACTTATACTCCATGGAGGTTTTGATGCCTCTAGAATGGCCACTGAGCAGATGGCTAGACTCATGGAGGGTTTAAGCAGGGTAATGACAAAGCCTGATTTCTGTTGTGTATGGGAAGGGAATTACAGGAATGCAAGAGTAGAAACAGAGGCTGGTTAGAGGGCATATAATAATCTAGGGTAGTGGGTTGAGAGTATGTTTTGAAAATAGAATTAATAGATTAATGGATTGGATATGTGGGATGAAAGAAAGGAATTAAATATGAGTGCTAGGCAGTTTCTTTTTTCTTTTCAACAAGCAGATGCATGGAGGTTTACATTTTCTATGATGGTTAACACTCAGAGTAGGACAGGGTTTGTGGGAAGAGCTGTTATGCCTGTTCAGATGGAGGTAACAGTTGGGTATTTGAATACAATAGTTTGAAGTTGGAGGAAGTCATGGTTAGAGACAGATTTAAGAGTTATTATGTAGATGGTCAAGTCTGGATGAAATCATCTAAGCTGTGGTAAAAGAAGAGAATGGGTCAGAGAAAAGAGCAGTAAGTGGAGCAGCGGAGAAGGAGCTGGTAAAGGACACTGAAAAGGAAAAACTGGTTAGAAAGGAAGAAAATTGAGCAGTAAGTTGTCTCGGATCTTAAGGTGGTGGTTCAGCTGTGTTGAGGATAGGTTGGTGACCTTTATGAGTACAATCTCTAGAGGATGGGGCAGGCAGAGTGAGTTGGTGAGCATATGTGAGATAGTGATGGCAATAGATGTCACTTTGAGGAAGTTTTGCTTCACAGGGGAATAAAGTTAAGGAAGGGTAGTTTATAAAGAAATATGTACTGGGGAAATTTTTGTTGTTAGTTAACTAATTAATTAAATGACTGAGTACGAAGAGAGAGATTGATGATGCTTGGGAGGTGGGGGAAACTCACAGAAGGTAAGAGGACCTGGGGTCAGGGATCAGGATAATAGAGATAAATGTGCCTGGATACTGGTGGGTGGTGGAATTCAGAGGTGAGAATATGAGAGAGTGCTGACAACTTGCTTTTACCATTCAAGGAAATATAGACATGGTCATGAGCTAGAGAGAGGCTTTGAGAGGGATGGAGTCAGTCTGTGGCAAGAGCAGGCTGAAAAGAGAAGGTAAACATAGTAAGCAGGTGTAGGTTTACCAGGCAGTATTGAGTGCCCACAGGAGATTTGTGGTCATGTAAAAGTGAGACTGATCAGCTCATTTAGGTGTTTTCCAGTGTTCAGCTGTTTGGGTGTCGGCTTAGAGTACA